ATTTCACAGTTTGAATAGTTACTAATAAGAAAATGATAAGAACTAACAATATCATAAAAAGTAGTATCTGTTCTTTATACCAATATATGTTTTACTATTTTTTTCTCTTTTAATTTTTTTGATACTTTTTACCATTTTGTATCCATATTTACCAATTTGTATCAGTAAACGAACCAATATATTATGTGGAATCTGTCTTTATGAACTCTTCTTAATATTCGTTATAGCATACATTAATTAAGCATCGTTACGCAAAAACATACTTTAGACATCACAACCAATCTGGCAACTTATGAGTTAATTAGTATGGTCCCCGGCCATAAGACTATATGTCATATAAGAACATAGCCTTTTAGACCTATAGAATCCACCGGATTCTTGGTTCAGTATTAGTTAGTTTCAGACTTCAGCTTAATATACGTAACTAATAATTAAATATTAACCTTGATTAACTACTACTCTGATGATAGAAGAGATAGTCAATGGTCAACTACATGGAGACACATAACCGCCCTCTTTTTATTACGTCTAGCTACATCAAATAGCTTGTTTACTAACTAACATAGTAGTACTTACTACTTCCTCTGTTTTATTTTTATCTAGTATTTAAGGTTAATCAATGCCTAAAGATTAAAAATATTAAATTTTATAAATCTTAAATCATTTACATAAAAATATCATTATTTCAAACTGATTCAATCAATAAAACATGCATTATTATGTAATTAGTAACAAATAGTTTGTTAAACTATCAATTGTCTTAACAAATTAGTATTTGTAAAGAAGATTACACTTAATTTGATGTAACATTATTCATTACACTAAACAATTATATAGTATATATTTTATTTTTATTTAATAATATAGTTACATTATTGTTATCAACTGGTTTAAATTTGTAAGATTAAGTATCTCTCACTACTTTGTTTTTATTTCATTAAATTTTTACAAAGATTAAAAAAAGTTTTATAATTTTTTTATTTAATAATATAGTTTTTTTGAATGGTACTTATTAAATGTTTAATAAGCATTCAGAAAAATATTAAGGGCATAAACCTAATATTTATTCGACTCATTTTGATTTGTTATTTTTCAAAACTATGATTTCCTTTTAAATGGTCGGAATTAGCGAAATAGTTAAAGCAAAGTTGCACGCGACGTGAGGCAGACCCGTGAGTCAGATTTTTCATGTGGAGACAGAGTGGCAGTCACGCACGTGTCACATGTCTTTCATGTAATTTAAAATCTTCTGAAAATTTTTAAACTTTTTTTCTCCCCTTACTATTTAAAACTCATAGAAAGCAGTTAGTTAACAAAAAAAACTCATAAAAAGGTATCGTAATTGCAGCATTATGCACGACTGCTGAAAAAGAAAAGAAATATTCGTTAACATAAAAATAATCCTAAATATAAGGGAAGAGGGAGAGAAGTCTCTTGAAGAAAAGGAAGAGACATCGGTACGAGACTAGGGGTCCACGTCAGACTCTTCTGTAAAAGTTCGAGATTCTGACTTTTGCTAACATGCATACTTTCTTCCCCGTATAACTTTTTTTTTTGTCTCGTTACAAATTTGCAATTTAATACGTATAATAAAACTTAGGCTTCTTTGTAATATTCAAATCTGAAATGTTCCTTTCTTGTCACCTTTGCTATGTACGTAGGTTTAGTGCATAAACGCGCACGAGACCATTATTTATGCTAAATGATTGGCCTCTTGACGTTCTTTTTTCTCAACATGTAATCAACTAGCCTAATACTAAAAACAGTACATGGATTTTTATCTGCCATTGACTCATGCATTTTTTGTAGAAGAACGCGTTAAATTTCACTTCATATTTGTTCCTTTTTGTATGTAGTGTGGTTCAGTGACCCAGTCTTTTCCGAGAGCAGCATTATTTCTTAGGGCTTGTAAGAATTTCTAAAAAATATATATATATTTATTATAATTATGTTACTACATTTTATTTTTTTGTGATGAATAGAACTAGCAATAATTATACTGAGAAATGTGATATGGATTTTTGAAGGGGATTAATATAAAAACTTATTAAATAAGAATTATCCCATTTTGATTATTTTCAGTCTCTAATTATGAACTTGTGAATGGAGATGTTCTGAGAGTGAGGCGAAGGAGGGAAAAAAGCCGTGAACGCACCAGTACCTACACAACATTTGGTTAATTTTTAGTTTGGTTTTTGTTGCATCAAACGCACAAGCACAAC